CAGTGGGGATTTCCATTTTGTTTCCTCAAGGTGGATTCCTTGCTCTCTCGGCACTCAGGATAAAAAGTAGTGCAATTAAAACTCAGTGTGGCCGTGGGAGGTGTCCTGGTGACTGCAATACCACGGTCAGCAAAAGAAGGAAATTGCAGGGCACCTGAATTTTTCGCATTTCTTCGTTCTGAATTTAATATTCCTTTTTTTTTTTTTTCCATCTCTTTCACTAAAACCATCTTTTATTACCAGGAAGTCAAATGGCATCTCTTTTGTTTTCCTTTTTTTTTCTTTTTAACACATTAGAGGGCTGTAAGATGCTTCTTGAGTACAGACATCTCATTTTCCTTTCCAAGCAAGGATTAACTCCACCTAATTCTTTCTTGATACTTGTCGGAGGTTTGTTTCAGTCGTTGAGACTCCCAGTGGTTGAGGCTTCGTGTAGACACTGATAGATTTGTCCTCCTGGCAAAGTTTTAAATTGTTGATTTACATCTGCTGCCTCTCATCCTCTTCATCACAGGCATGGGGAAAAATCTTCCTTTTCTCTGTGCAGCAGCCCTTTCTGTATTAGAAATATGTTGTCATTAGCTCTTCGTAAGATGCTGTGTGCAGTGTACCGAGCTCAATCAGGTGAACTGAAAATGGTAGAGCCCATTCTTATGCCAGAATTGACTTCAGAACTGATGGTACGTGGCCTTATTTATGCGTATATCTAGTTTAATCCTGCTTAAACTCATGCTACAAGTCTTTGCTCACTCTCTTGCCCCTTTGATCCCAATCCAAACGTTCGTGCTTATGCTTAATGTTGTCAACTCCTTACAGCGAGCCTCTGTCACCCCTAACGTCTGCAGCAATCCAGAGTGATTCCTCGGTAATAATCTGCTCTGCTGCTCTCTAGACCTGCGTTGGAAAGGTATTGGGATGCCCTCAGCTCTTCCTGTCAAGTTTTGTATCCTGCACGGGGCTCCTACCGGCGCTGCTCAGCAGTGAGGGTGTGGAGCAGCAGGAATAGGGCTGGATTATGTTAATTGTGTTGTTACAGTTCCTTAACGAGAAAGTAACTCATCACTGCGATTCGCTCCGACTCCGCAAAGGTGGGCTTGCATTTTAAAGCCGTGGATGGTAATGCAATTGCCTCGCAGCTCAAGCTAGAGGTTTAGCCTGTACTTACTTCATCTAGCCCATTTCCTGCAATTTACGCGAGGATCTACTAAAATTACAGTTTAGCTTTATTCTCCCTCTGCGCTCCGTTCTCCGGTACTTCTCCTTTCGTGTCATTTTGTCAATTTGTGCTAACAGAATGACTTGCGGAGTGGTACACCCTCATTTGCAAACGAGGAAGCAAAGGCACGTGAAATTACTCGGCTTAAGTAATTGTAGTTCATACGTGGCAGGTATTAGACTGTATAGTAGATTTTTTTTTTTTGATTCATCTATTTTAAGCTTTAAGTGCTAGGAAAGAAACACCTGCAGTGAAGAGGAGGAAATTTTATTGAATTAATCCACGCTACAACCTACTTCTGTTGCTTATGTATAGCACCCTTTATTTTTGCCCATCAGTTGCATCTTGCTTTTCCTCCTAGAGTAACGTGGGGATGCATTCGTTGGTTTTTGGATCTAATTCCTCAACTTAAGGTCTTAAATCTCCAGTTTGGGTTTCAAACTCATTTATTTCATGAGGTGTCTAGATACCATTCTACTTCGACTTCTACTGTTGCCATACCTTCTTCATGTTTGAATGTGAATCTTTTTCGGTATATAATAGGCCATAATCCTGTATATTTTTTGCCTTCACTAAGTAACAATGTGAGGAAGATGCTCTGAGAGTACAGTGCCGTAGAGATGCAATCCCGATCCTGCAGGAATTAGGGGAACCAGGATTTCACTCTATACATTTAGTGTGCTGCCTTAATGATTAAATCAGCACTGTGTGTAAAAGTGAAGAAAGCGCGCAGGAAAAACAACAAAAAAAAAAACACCCTGTGAGTACTTAGTGCTTTATTTTTCCATACATTCAACCGATTGCATAAACAGATGATGTTTACTGGGGACTTCTGGCTATAATTGACCCTCATCTTTTCCTGTGCACTTCCCAGCCTCTCCTTGAATTTTCCTATTGTTTCCTTTTAATCACTCCACGCTTAACTCTGCTTTAAGCAGTGCTTTTCTCCTGCTTGGGACTGTCCTACAGACTTGTATTCCCACCTCTTCTTTTAACTTCATCTTCTCAGCCTGATTTCATTTGGAGCTCATGATGTGGACGAAGACATCTCCTCCAAAGCCCAATCTTCTGATGTCCCACCAGTTAGAGCAGGATTGCTCTTTGCCTTTTACCTGGTCATCAGGAACGGAGCAGGAATGGTTCTTTGCCATTTGTCCTGTATAATTCACTGCTTTTTGGAGGTTGCGGAAACACGGTGCTGACTTACGTACGCGCGTCTTATTTTTGGAACTGCATAAACTGCAACTCTCCTGTCGAGAGGTTAGAGGGAAAAAAAAACATGTTTAGAGTTCAGCGGTGTTCCCATGGCTACTGGGACAGGTACATCACAGGAGGGGGAACGCTGCTGGCATGTAACAGCCCTTGCAGGTGATTTATGGCTTTACATAAGCTTCTCCTAAACCGAGAGGTTTTCTAGAGTTGGCACCTCCTTGCTTGTCTCCATGCCCTGTTAGTTCTGTGTTCAGTGGCCCGTGGTTATTAAAATTCTTATCAATAAAGGAGTTTCTGAGCAAGGTTCTTATTTTCTGGGATCGTGCATACCTTCTGAACTCCTCAGCTTAACCAAAGGAACATTTTTTTTTTAAATGCCTAATGTATTTTATAAAAAGAAATGTGTAGAGTTCAAGTAATATTTGCCTTCAATTACAGTAATTAAGTTGTCAGGACTCAAAGTCACCAAGGGAATGAGAAAATCCTTTCCTGGTTGGCCAGAGGATAATTGGTGTTCTGGTCGCGAGTGCGTTTTACATATTGGGGTGGGGAGGGAAACCGTTCTGGCTGGCATCTGCGGCAGAAAACCTGGGAGGCTGTTTGTCATTTTGCAATCCAAGGTGTCAAAATCCTCCTGCTGGCAGAAGGAAGAGCAAGTGACCTGCTTCACGTTGCTTTAGCAGGGCATCTATTTTCTGATCGGCACCAGCGCCGCTTGCTCCAGTGGGGACGTGTTATCATTTTATTAAGAAAGCGACTGCAAACAGAGCCCAGTCCATTTATTCTGGGGGCTGAGTCTTTTCAAACTTCTCCTGCAGCTCCCCTTTTGAGTGTACGTTGGATCTGTAGCCGTGGGTAGGTACATGTGCCTTTTCCCCACGTTTACCATCTCTTTGAGCACTTCTTCGACAGAAATCACGTAATTTCTCTCCCTAAACTTACTCGAGGCAGGCCACGAAGGTATTCCTGCAAGAAAAGCACCTAATTTTGCTAAGTGCCCCCACAAACATCACTGGCATCTCAAGTGTAGCGTTGCTCTCGTTCCACTGGGCTGGCTCTCTTGAAAGCCCGATGGATGAGGAAATCGCCCCTCGTGCTGCATCGCTAACGACACGAAGCTTTGCATTCCTGCTCGTGTGAGTGAAGGTTACTGCTGTAGGAGTCAGCCCTGCCAAACCTTACCTACAAACCCTAATAAAACCCACTTCAGCCATCAACTTTAATGATGCCCTAAAGAGAGCCGCACCACTTATCTCCACCGTGTTGAGATAAGTGGGTTTCTATCTCCCACGTTGCTGCCGGCCTTCACCCTGTTATCAGTTTACACCACTGGATGTGGGTGTAAAATATTACAGCTCCGATTTGGTTGCATTTTACAGTCACTTCAGTCCACGTCCAAGATTCATGGGCAGAGTGGGTGCTCTTATCTGTGTGTGTTTGTGAATGGAAGAACAGCCTCGTAGCTGGCACTCGCCTCGTTTGCCCATCGTAGCTGCAGATAACCTGTTTCAGAAGCATCTTGTGGGCCAGATGTTGGTAAGGACCCTACACGATTCCTACCTGCTCAGCTTTTCCCACCTAGGGGGGTGTGCTGAGGTACCTGCAGTTCCCACCAGCCTTTAAAAAAAAAAATCAACATAAAATTTGGGATGTTTCCAGAAGTCGTCTGTGACTTTTGCCAAGCCAGAGGATATACCACAAAGGGTTATTTTTGAGTGCTTCGATATCCACGTAAACAAGTCGAATTTCAGCTGCTCTTTGGGCATGTTTATTTTGCAAGTCACAGATAATTTAGCAAATTATTTTTTTTTCATCTCGTTGCATTTGTTGCTTTTTCAGAGTTGATTCTCTTCATGCCATACATAGCATCCAGCTCAATGAGCGTAGTTTGCCTTTTGTTGTATATTTACTTTCTAGACACTCGGCTCTTTTTATAGATACTCACCTGCAGCTGGAGTTCAGCAGCTATTTATTTTGTGTATGCAGACGCCGTGTAAGATCTAACCTGTGATGTTGTTTTTGCCATCTGATAACGTGTGATCAAATGGAACATGTTTAAATAACAACGTCTAGGACACAATGACAGTAAAGCAGCTATGAAACAAACATTTCTACAGATCAGATAAGGTGGAAGGGATGCATCAATGCCGGATTGCTCCGTGTAGCCCAAGTTGTTGCACTTCGCTGTAGAGGTATTCCAGGCATGGGATTTCCTTTCTGCCACAGGCTAATAGATCATACCGTGCTATTTTTCATGTTGGTTTGTATCTTGTAGAGACATGTGCCTTTGCGAAGTGAGTGTAACACGCCGAGTACGATAGCATTACACATAATCTGCATGAGTTGCACAGGAGTTGGTAAACAGTGAGAAATTCAAACCAGCAGAGAATCATAACCTGTCCCTGCTCTAAGTTACTGTACTTGAGTCTCTTTTTGTAGAAGTCTGTACTTCTACCCTTAATTTATAAAGCAGTATATGGTTTTAAAATACTTCTAGCATTAATATGCAGCAAAATAACTTTGCTTAAAGCCATTTTTTCTGACTCTTCTGCTTCTCCTTGTTCCCCTGCAGGAGGATGCCACTGATCCCGAGTCTCAGGAGGAGAAGCAGAGAGACCCCTGGCTGTCTGAGCCTGCAGACGGTCCCAATACAGTGAAGAGTGGTCTCACTGTGCAGGAATATTTCGCCAAGCGCATGGCAAAATTGAAGGGATCCCATAAAGAAACAGAAGTAAAGTCAGACGATTGCTCCCCAACCACAGAAGAAGCCTTGGAGCTTTCAGAAGAACTGAAAACCAAAGCTAAGAAGAAAAAGAAGAAGCAGAAGAGTGATGAGGCAGAGAGTACAGAACACTGTGAGAAACCAAAGGCAAAAAAGTCTAAGATAAGTAGCTGGAATGGAAATGAACTGGATGCTTCTTTAAATGAATGTCACTCAGGGAAAAAGAAAAGGAAGCATAAAGAGCGGCACGAAGAGGAAAGCGTTAGTAATGATGAAAATATGGGCAATGGAGAAGTTTATATGGGAATATCTGATGGGGAGGACCTTTGCACAGAGGACTCAGAGACAAAGCAGAAGAAACGCCATAAGAAGAAGCACAAAAAGCAAAAAGAGGAGACAGGTGACTGTACTGAAGGAACGCAGAGAAAGAAAAAGAAGCACTGCAAGTCGATTTAACCATTTAAGAGTCAAGGTGGGACTTTGAGGCGGTTTGAACTTTATCACGTTGGATGAGAAGCCTACACAAACCCCAGCCAAACATCAGATGGCAATTCAGCTTTGAGTACACTTGAGCTCCTCATCCACCTGAAACCACAGATTGTATTTAAATAGAGCTCTTACAAGGGGGCTGAGAACGTGCTGACAGGCCAACAGGAGCTCCAGCTCCAGGGCCAAGGCTTGCACGTCTACCAAGCAAGACTTGATTAAAAAGAAGACAACAGCTATGCTTTGCCCTCCCGTTGTGGCAGACCCAAGGTTCACCTTAGGGGCTGTGCTTTAACACGGCAGAGCCTCCACCTTCAGCCCACGTTCACCCTGGAGTGACTCCATTCACAACAGATAACAGCAAGCAAAATCGGGGCTGGTTTTAACCACTGTGGTTAGGACTGTGAAAACCAGTAAATTGCCGTGTGCTGGTTCACACTGGCTGTGTTTTCTCAGTCCGGGGAGATGAAAACAAAACAAAACAAAACAAAAAAAGTCATCCTATTGCTGCCTTTATTATTAAAGCCACCGTTGTTTTCACTTGTGATAGCTCTGCTTCTGGAAACGGGAGGGGGGTTGCAAAGCTGTATGTATTTCTTTTCATTGATTTTTTTGCAAAGTCGTGTGTAATTTTTTCATTGATCTCCCATTTACGTATAAAAACGACATTGTTTTTCCCAAAACGCTTAGTCCTTAATTAAAAGATTACCCCTGATTGTCAGTACTAAGGAATGAAATAAAGTAACTCCCTGTGTTCCCTGGCCAGTAGTTAACTATTGTCAAGTAATTAAGTTTGCAACAGAGGTACAGGAGCTGTGCCTTTCTTAGCCATATCTTAATCTTTGATTCCCAGGTAGCATTCGTGCTACGTTTGGTGATGCACCTCACATTCAAAAAGCTGGAGAAGCAAGGTTTTCTATGAAACAGGGAGACCAAATAGATTTTAAGAGCATAGCTACTCCTCCGCATTAATATTGCCACTTCCACACAGAAGCCTTGCAATTTGTAACCAAATCAGCAGCTGTTTCTCCTTGTCAACCTGGAAATAAGTAAAGCTGGGACTCAGCACTGCCACAAGCCCTTGTGGAGGAGAGGTTAAACATTCAGGCTGGATTTTGGCACCTTCATCTCACTCAGCAAAAAGCTGTCGGGGGAGATGGGTGAGCTTGGAAGCGAAGTGGTGAAATGGGAAGAAGCATTCCCTGTCCTTGTGTCTGGTCCTGATATTGCCTCGGCCACAGCAAATTGACAGCACAGCCCTGAAAGCCAGCCAGTTATCGTGGCATCACCCGGGGTAGCCAAGCAGAATTTAAATTCATTAGCTGCTCATTTGTCTTTGGGGCCTTCCTGTGTTTCATCAGAGTAAATCTAAACCATCCCAATGGCCTGCTCTGCTGGCTAAATGGCCACGTTTGTGGTTGAGCCCAGCTGAGTCGCTGAACATGGCTTGAAAAACATTGTCAAGATGCAGATGTAATGTGAAAAGATTCCTTAAGCTGCCTTTATGGTCCAGCAGGAGAAGTGTAGCCGACAATACACAGCCCACAGGGCTTCAGATGTCTCAGTTGCAGCTCAGTTGGACTTCTCACTTAAGGTACCTTGGTTTGCAACGCCAGGATATCTTAAGACCTATCTTAAGGGCTTTCTTGCCCTGAGGACACACTCGTTCATTGCAGCAAAATTGCTGTACTTTTACAATATGGTAAAGGAGAACAAGATGCCTTTCTCTATGCTTCCCACTGGTGTCGTTTTCAACCCTTAGAGCATTTTTTAACCCTTAGAGAATTTGCTTTCCAGCTCTTTGCAAATATTTGCCCTTGTGATGTTGCTGGGGCTGGGCTTGTTCCCTGCCTTCCTCAAGCGACTGATCACTTAAACACCACGAGCTTGCTCTGGTTGTGAGCAAACTCTGTGCTTGACATGAAAAAAAAAAAAATCTTCTCAGTGGGAGAAGGCAGCAAAATAATTTTCATGTTATGTTGTGAAGCATCCTAAGTTTTAAAGCAGCTCTCCCAGTTTCTTGCTTACTGCTTACTAAATTTTTATTTGTCGGTAGAAGCCCTGAATGTTTCCCATGATTTTTTTTTTTTTTTAACTCTTAAGTGGCTGAACTTTACAATCTCCTGGGGATTTTAACTTGAAAAGGTGCTAGTAAAGGAAGAGGGTTTCCTTTGCCAAATGCTGCTGGGTTTGTTCGCTTGTTCGCTGTATTAATCTTACACGAGTTTCTGTGTGCTGGATCTTATGGAAAGTGTTTGGCCAGATTCCAGTGTTAGTTACAGCAAGAACAAACAAAAAAAGGGAATAAATCTTTAAATGTGTGGTGTCACTACTGGTAAGCACAGGAGATTTAAGGTTTAAATCTGGCTCAGATTGAAATACGAGCTACAAATAGAAGATTCTCTATTTGTGCAATAAGTGGGAATTTCACTTTTTCCTGGGAAACGTGGGATTTTATTTTAACGTGCCTCAAGCTCAAAGAGAAATGGCATGTGCAGAACTTGGGTTGTAGGAAAGAATGACTTTGTGATGTACTAGAATTTGAAAAAAAAAAGGGATTCAGCTGCACTTCTTTGTATGTTAGTGATCAGCCAACTCTGTATTATGCAACAAGAAGCTCTTCTTACCAGATGCTGCCTTGCGAAGTGGATGACAGACACAACAACATATTTCGAAGTAATAAATTATTATTTTTTGTTTGTAGTGGGTTGTGAGTCCAGTTTTAACCAAACCCGGGTTTGGCAAGAAGGCCTTTTTAGAAAGCAGAAGAATTCCAGCATGGTGAAATGAGCAGAACGTAAGCACAAAGAAATGATTTGGGTTGGTTCTGTGAAAACGACTTTTGAATAGCGGTGTCTTTTGTTGCATATTTGTCCATCGTACCCACATCTTGCAGCACAGATTTAATGTACCTCCAAGTGAAATTGCCCAGAAACAGCAAAATGAAAGTCGCCGGGCTGCTTTCGCTCACAAATTAGGGTGATGCGCACACAGCGCAGCTGCTGAATTGTTTTCAATTTGGGTAATCCCAACTCACCGGTGACATAGAAGTGATGTTTTTTGGGGAGTTACTGCCACTCTTTGCAGGTATGGTGCAATTCTGCGCTTTGAGCCTTGAAATTAATTGTTGGTGCAAAGCCACACCAAGCTAAAAGTTTGTGAGCAGCAATAGAGATGCCAATTTTTGTGTTTGCAATTACCTGCAAGCACAGAAGTGTGTCCTGGAAAGCAGAGACCATGTCAAAAAACCCCGTTACCAGCATCGGACTGAAATCTGCACCAGGTTTTTGGGCTTCCATGGGACACGTGGTTTGATCTTGCTGGTGTCTGACTGCAGCACCTCCCGTAGAGCCAGGGATGGAAAATCGCACTGGGTGGCAGCCCAGAAATGTGCAACAGGTACCGAGCACCCTTCCCCGAATTCCCTTCAAAACTTGCCACCTCTTGTGCTTTGCACTGCTTATTTCAAGGCACGGATGTGAGCTGCTAAGTAGAAGTTTCAAGGCAACAATGAAGAGCTCAGAACCTCCTTAGGTCTATAGGGATTTCAGCTGGTAGATCCTATCCGAGATGCAGCCTCTTTGTGATACATAAATATCACAAATATTGATAATAATAACATAAGAAATGCGCTTGGGGACCCCTCCAGCTCAGCATCTCGTTAAATTCGTGGAGTTTTCCTTTAAGCAAAAGCTCTGGTGCTGACTTCTTTCAAATAATCAGCTCTTGGCAAAGCAAATTAGCAGAATGCCCCGCTTGTAATTAACCAATTTTCTCCTGTTTAAACACACAAGGCCGGAGTTCTTCAAGCATCCACCTTCAAAAGGCACAATTTACGTCACGAAACCTCCAAACCTGCCAGCACCGAGGGGAGGAAGGAAGCTGCAAGAAGAGAGGAAAACCACACAAAGTCTATTGGAAACGCTGCATAGCATCGCGCCCGGCCCAAAAAAAGATCTTGCAGCAGCGGGTCCTCGAACGGGGAGAGGATTGAAGGCATCTGGAGCAGCCCCTGGCTTCTTTTCTTCCCTGCCCCTGGCACCGTGGTTTGCTGTAAATCCAATCCTTGCCGTGCTATCCACCGAGGATCCCCAAAGAGGGGGTCAGGGCTCACAAAGTACTCGGAAAATAAGCAAGGGAGGAATCTCTGTACCTGTCCCGTGCAGGGAGAGGCAAAATTCCCTCTGTACGCAAAGTTTTAGTGATGGGGAACTGGTAAAATGGTTTGAAAAAAGAAAAAAAAAAACACCTCTGTGGTTGCAGCAGTGGGAAAGTTGTTCCAATGCCAAACTGAAACTCAATTTCTCAGCAAGTCAGAACTTAAATTCTGCTTCTGAGTCACTCGAAGATTAATTTTTTTTTTCTCCATTAATTAATTAATCCATTTTTATAAATTTTTACGGCGCGAGAAGGAAATTCTGCTGGTCCCTTTTCACCAGCTAAAAAGCATTTCTTTTCTAGCTGCTCGAGCTGAATTTTAAAAATAGCAGGAGCGGAAACGCTCAGCACCGTGCTTGTGAGTGTGTCAGAGCCGTGAGCGTTTTTCTCTGCGTTTTTGGCTGTGGGGTGGACACGGGGAAAGCTTCAGCTTCGCCTCCCAGCAAAGAGCTGATGCCCGGAGCCATCCCTGGGCCAAAGCAGTCGGGAGCCCTGCAGGAACCCAGGATGCTGCCCTTGGGAGAGGAGAATCCCATCAATAATTAAGGACCATGTAAATCTGGAGCTGATTTAGGATTTGTGCTTAGTCCCACATTTTAATCTCTCCAGGGCGAGGGGATCACTTGGGGAAAAGGGGAGAATTTGAAGGAGTGGGGCCAGGCTTGTGAAAGCCACGCTCGGGTGCGGGTTTTCCGTGCGACCCCATGGGAGTTGCAGCCACCGTTCCCCATCCGCGAAATGGGGAGAACAAAGCTTTCTTCCCACCCTTTTGTCTGCTCGCTCTATTTTAGCTCGTGGCTTTCAGCCGTAATTTTTCCCTGCTCTCAAAGCCCTGCGAGAGCTCCGCTCCTTCCCGTGCCCCAGATACAGGTAAGCGCTCTGCCAGATGCCGGGAAGGTAAGCAGAAAAAATTAAAAAAAAAAAAAAAAGTAGAGGTGAGCTTTCCAGCCTGCTGCTAATTACCCCGATACGGTGGCAATTAGGAAGGTGGCATTTTCACATGGCCCCGGCTGCCTTTATGTAACGCCGAGCTTCCTACAGGACAGGTTTAACCAGCATTTTAAGTAGGGTGCAGAATGAAACCCATCTTACTAATGCGATCAGAATGCCAGGCGCTGAAGGAGAAAGGGGGGAAAAAATATATATATTTATTATCGTTTGCACCCAAAACGTGGCGTGGGGGCCTCTAGGAAGGCGCCAGCTCCTTCCAGCAGGGGAGGGAAGATGCAAACGGGGAGGATTTGGCAGATTTTGCAGAACTTTGACCCCACGGTGGGGTTTCGGAAACACGGCGTGACTTTGTCCCTGCAGTACCTGGGGGAAACTGGGCGATGCTGCCCCCACAATGCGAGGGGAGCAGCCGGGATGAGGAAATCCAGGTGAGCTGCTCGCTCCCAGAACCTCCAGGACCCTACAGCAGAGGCAGGAGGTGGCCACGGGTCTCCCCCAGCACCGTGTCCTCCCCCAGCCCTTTCCTTTATTCCCATCCTGCCAAATTCCCCTCGGACACGCGGCGCAGGATGGAGGCACGGCGGTGGAAACGGCCTCAAGAGGAGCCTGCTCCTTTCCTTCTCCCTCCAGGGATGTTTCGTGGCGCTGCTCCGAAAAATCTCCTGGCCTCCAGGGCCTGGAGCAGAGCGCAGAGGTGGGATCGTTATAAGAATAATTATCCCCGGGCCCCGCGCATCCCAAGAGCTTAAAAATAACGCTGAGCAGTGTAATATATTCAGAATAAACACTTGCAACTCAGTTTCACACACTCCTACTAATGGGAAGCCTCAGAAAAAAAAGGATGAAGCCTCAAAAAAAAGGGTGAAACCTCGAAAAAAAGGATGAAGCCTCAAAAGAAAGGATATTAGGGGTTTTCTACCCTTGGTTTTGCAGGCGGATGGAGAGTTTGGCTGGGCTCTGCCTCCACCCAAGGCTGGGGAGAGGAGCAGCGCCCCGGCTCTGCGGCTGTCCCGGGCACCAGGAGCTGAGGGTCCCTGTAGAAAACCCAATGGGAAAAATAAAAGGGAAGAGGGCCCTCGACCTCTGCTGCAACTCCCCTCTGCAAAACGCCCCCGGGAGAGCTGTTGGGAGCAGGATGGAGGGCTTGGCACCCGCTGTCCTGCCTCGTCCTGGCTCTCCAAACCCGCTGCGCACCACAGGGCTGGCACCGCCTGGTCCTAAATCCTGCGTGGCCCCAGAGCACGGCTCCAGAGCGCAGATGAAAGGCAAGAGGCTGTGTGTGTGTGTGTGTGGAAAGGGTTTATAAATCTGTCCCCAGGTCAGGAAATCTCCTGCGCCTTTTAGATTTAAGAGAAGTTGCCTTCCTGTTGTATTCCCAGATAACGCGGCTCTGATCGAGCCCACTTGTAAATAGCTTAATAGATTTAATCAGTTCCTTTGGAAAATGGTGTTGTTTCCGCGAGGTTTTCGTACGGGCCGGGGGGGAGGAAAAAAGCTCGGCCGGGGCGGCCGCAGCTCCGTGGTGAAATCTGCAGCTCCCAGCTCCGCGCCCAAGCAGGAAACCCAGGCGGATCCCGACCCCACAGAGCCGGCGCTGGCGACCCGAGGAGAGTCAATAGGAACACCCAGGCACGTGGGCGAGCGCTGCCGACCTGCACAAATACCCCAGCCTCGGATCCACTGCTGGGTTTTTTTCCCCCCCCGGAGAAGCACGGGGGCAGCCCCAGGAGCCGCGTTCGCAGCCTGGCCCCCCGGCTTCTGCTGGCAGCGCCGAGAGGAAATCCACAATCAGTGGAAGCAGAGCCCATGTCAGGGGGTCAGAATCATAAAGGAATCGAGCGGCTAAATATATTCCTCGGGGCTGAGCTGGGCAAGGGGCTCGGGTTTTGGGATGTTCGGTCCCGTTGCCCTCCCCGCACATCCTTCGTCCTAGTCATGGGGATGATTTTCCTGCACCAAAACCAGGATTTAGGGTTTGTTCTTGGGAAATATGATGAATGGCATCGTGATGGTGATGCTTGCAGCCTGGCTGGGCTGGGGTGGCTTTGCTCCATAAAGCGCATCGGGAATTAAAAAGGCCCCGAAGCATCGTGGTGGCCCTACAGCTCCTCGTGTCCCAGGGATGAGCTGTAGGGACCAACGGGGGATGCTGCAACCCCTTGGGGTTGTGCCCAAATCTATCCCCAGCTATCCAAATCTATCCCAGCTATACAAATCTATCCCCAGATATACATATCTATTCTCAGGAGTCCCCCAGGCTGGCCAAGCACCCACTGCACACCCACCGGGTCCCCATTTCCTCCCTTTTTGACCTGGGATTTGGGGTAACCAGGTGAAAACCTGCACGGGGCACCAAGGTTTGGGGTTCTGGTTGGAGCAGGGGGGCATGGTGGAAAAAGGGGACACCCTGCAGAACCCACACCCCAAATTTCCCTTGAAAATGGGCACCCTGCAGCTTGCCCAGACCTGAGGAGAGGGCTTGGAGGGGCTCAACACAATTTTTGCACCCCCATGGGATCCCTCCTTTTGGTGCCATTTTCCTCTTTCCTTTTCCTTTTTCTTTTCTCCTTTCCCCCCAGAAAAAAAAAGAAATCTCGGTGCTTGCACCCCCTCGCCCTGTGCTCCCACCAGCCTTGAATGTTTTTTTAGGGGAGGGCAATGAGTTTGAATTCACCAGCCTTGAATTTTGGGGGACAGGACCACTATCCCGGAGACCTTCCCCGCTCCCCTCCGGCTGCGCTCGCTCCTCCGGCAATCCAGCTCCAATCCGTCCCCGCACAAATAAATAAATATGAACAAAGCTGCTACCAAAAAGGGGAGGGGGGAAGCGGGAGGGATTGGGGGGCTTTTGGGGTGCTGCCTCCCTCCTCTCTCTCCCCCCCCGGGGGTGTGGGGAGCGCAGGGCAGAGGGTGGGGAGAAGTTTTCTTCTCCCGGCCGGGAGTTTGCAAACAAGGAGGAGCAGCAGCAGCCAGTCCCTTCGGTGTCATTGGAGGAGGGTTTTATTTTTTTTATTTATTTAATTATTTTTTTTTTTTCTTCTTCCAAGGAGCTCATAAATACCGGGGGGGAAACCGGGCGGGAGGCTGGGACTGCGCGGGGACCCCGAGGGCAGCGCGGAGAGAGAGAGCATCGGGTGAAAGAGAAGGAGGAGGAGGAGGAGGAGGAAGAAGGAGGCTGGGGGAGGCCGGGGGGGGGCCGGGCCATGGCTGCGCTGCTGAGCACCTACCCCTGGCCGGAGAGGTTGGAAGGGGAGGCTGCGGAGGGGCTGCAAGCGGGGCCGCCCCCGAGCCGCTGCCCCCCGGGGGAGAAGAGCGCCGAGAGCCGCATCCGCCGCCCCATGAACGCCTTCATGGTGTGGGCGAAGGACGAGAGGAAGAGGCTGGCGGTGCAAAACCCCGACCTGCACAACGCGGAGCTCAGCAAGATGCTCGGTGAGGAGCCCCGGGGGGCGAGGGGAGAGGGGGGAGGCTCGGCTTGGGCACCCACTGCGGGGTGCCAGGCTGGCACTTTGCTTTGCGCAGGGTGCAGACCTTGCCCGGGGTCCTGTGCCCTAAAGGGTGGGCACCCACCTGAACCCCCCCCCGGGGTGCAAAGCCCGCTTGGGTGCAGCACCCTAGGGTGCAAAGCCTCCCAGGGGTGCTCCCTGCCGCCCCTGGGGGTGCAACACCCCTGGGCTGGCTGTGCATGGGAGCCCCGGGCGCAGCGCACGGAGGGACCCCCAAATTTTCCAGGCCTGTCTTTGCCGTCCCGCTTCGTCCCCCAAACTTGCTGGCCACCCTGACATCTCCAGGGGAGTGTTTTCTGCTGGGTCTTTTCAGGGATCGCAGCCCATTTTGTGTATTTTATTTTATTTTATTTTTTTTCCCGCTCCCCATCCGCTGTTTCCCCCTTTTCCAAATCTCTTTTGCGAGACCAAGGGCGAAGCACAGAAATAACCCAGCCCCAGACGGCCCTGAGAAAAGAGCTGCCCGAATTGCAACACTCTCTGCCGTCCAGCCTCTTACCCAAAGTTTGTGTTTCCCTGGGCAGTTCTGCGGTGTTTTCTTTGGTGGTTTGGGGTTTTCTCCTCGCTGCTTTTTCCAGGCAGCATCTCCTCTTGCCGCTGTCGCTTCTGCTCTCACTTCGGCAGTGGGAAGGCACCGAGTGGATCCGAATTTCTCCCCCTACCCCCGAGGAAGGGATGTCCCCACCGCGGGATGTCCGTGACCCCCTGCTCCCTGCGCTGGGGACAGCTCTGCTCAGATTTGCAGCGAGCAGGGAGCGGAGAGGTCGCAGTGCCCGGGGCCACCGGGACAGGGACACAGCCAGGGGCACCACGTCCTGACCCCAGCCCTGCTCGGCAGCGCTTCCTCGCCGCCTTTTCTCCGGGCTCCACGTCCCAGGGACGCGTTGCAGGATCCGGCCCTGGCCCTGGGGGAGTTTATTTGCCCTGGTTTATTTGCAGTGGGGCTCGGCGCACCCTCGGCACGGCCTGACCCCGTCTGGGGACTCGGGACAGGGGGGAGAAAAGCAGCAACTTGGCTCCAGCACCCTCCTGTTGCCGTCTCCTTGTCCCGGGGAGTTTGCAGGATGAATCCCCCGTTTTCTCGGGAAATGGGAGCCCCGACCCGCCCTTGGGTCGGGTGCCTGGAGGACGGCGGCCACGGGCACTAACGGGGATTTTTGCTCTCCGTTTACAGGCAAGTCCTGGAAGGCGCTGAGCCTCTCGCAGAAGCGACCCTACGTGGAGGAGGCCGAGCGGCTGCGGGTCAAGCACATGCAAGATTACCCCAACTACAAGTACCGGCCCCGAAGGAAGAAGCAGGTCAAGAGGATCTGCAAGCGGGTGGACCCCGGGTTTTTGCTGGGCAGCCTGGCACGGGACCAAAACGCCGTGCCCGAGAAGCGGACCTGCGGCCGGGCTGGGGGCGAGAAAGAGGGGCCGGGTGAGTACCCCCCTCGCCCGGGGCTGCCCCCTGTCCGGGGCTACCGGGATCCCCCGGGGAGCAGCAGCGGCACCAGCGTGGACACGTACCCCTACGGGCTGCCCACCCCTCCCGAAATGTCTCCGTTGGATGCCATAGACCCCGAGCAGAGCTTCTTCTCCTCGCCCTGCCCCGACGAGCATCACCGCTCCCACCTCGCCGCCGGAGCCCCCTTCTCCCCGGAGTACCCGGGCAGCTCCCTCCCGTGCAACCACCACCCGCTCAGCCCCATGCCACAGCCGGCCACCTGCATGATGCCTTCGGCCTCCGCCTGCCCTCCTCTTCCTCCTAGCAGCTACTACACGGCCGCCTTCCCCCCGCTGCAGGCCCCCGGCCTCCACGCCCACCTGGGCCAGCTCTCCCCGCCGCCCGACCACCACGGCTTTGACACCTTGGACCAGCTGAGCCAAGCCGAGCTGCTGGGGGAGATGGACCGCAACGAATTCGACCAATATCTCAACAACCCTGGCCACGGCGAGCACCACGCCGGGGCTTTGGCCAGTGGACACGTCCCGGCAGTCTCGGCGGCCGGTGGGTCCCAGGCGGCGGAGACCAGCCTCATCTCCGTCCTTGCTGATGCCACGGCCACCTACTACAACAACTACAGCGTCTCCTAGACCCTGCGGCCGCCTGGACCGGCCGAGGAAGGACCCAACAGTATTACAAGGCGTTGGTCCCCTGGGGACGTCGCTCGCCTTCCCCCTCAGGGCGTCCGAGTCCGAACGGCGAGGGCCATGGAGTCTCCTCGGGGGCTTAGGTAAAGGATTTCGGTCGTCAGCTTGCCACCGGGTGCAAAGCGTTGGGTGCCCTGCTCCGAAACGGCCAGGGGGGAGTTCTTGGTGCCAAAGCCCCTCTTCTGAAGTAGAGATGCTCCCAGGAGCATGGGGAGGCTGCATCCTGTTTTGGGGCACCCTCAGCTCTGCTTTGGAGTTGGGAGGGTGGCGGCATCCCGCCAACGGCATGGACGAAATGAAACCCCTTGGAAAGGGAGCAGGCAGGGATGGGTGGGGAAAAAAAAAAGGAAGATTTTGGTAAATGGACACAGGATCCGCGTGCGTGTTGTGCCCCGTGTCCCTGCCCTGGGCTTTGAGCCCAGGTGAGCAGCGCTGCCCCACGTCCATGCACTCGGTGTTGGTGGTGCTGTGGCAACCCCAATCATCCTGGGTGCACCGGTGGGGTTAAACCAGCCCCGTCCCCCTGTCCCTAAACGCTTCATTTTGTCCCAAGGGGTGTCTTCCCCCCTGGGGACATCCCAGAGGATGGGACATCAGGGATGCTGCCAGCCCAGGGCACAATCTCCATGTATGAAATTGGGATTGTGGGGCAGGATCGGGCTGGTGCCAACACCCGCACAGCTCCCCCTTGGCCTCCTGGCAAAAGCGCTCCCAAAACGGGAGCGGCGGGGGTCCTGCTCCCTGCCGGGCCAGGAAAACGTCTTCAGATGAGCACTTTGGCAAAGAGGTGATGATGTAGCAGACACGTTTTTATCAAACATCCTTTGAAGGCGAACGCTTAATGTTCCGAGCCGCAGTGCCCAATGCCTCCTCTAACTCCAGCGTATTATTGCCTGTAATAAAGCTGTACATTGATTTATTCCTTCCATTATTCCTCCCCTTGGATTTTGTATTGCTCGAGTTCTCTTTCTTTTCATAAAGATGAAGCTTTATTTTAAATCAGTTATATGACATGATTAATCTTAGTGTTTACTGTATGGCACTTGGTAATGATTAGTTAGTAGCGTGGCTATGATTTTCTGGTTTCAGTCCCAAACGTGTATTAATAATAATTGCAAATAATACTTAAAAAACACAACTTCACAAGTTTTTAAGCTAATACATTCCATCTTTTTTGTGTGACTCTATGCATTTTGAATGAGTGTAGATATGAGTTTGCATAAAATATTTAATTTAAATAAATGTTTTTATACAATGATTGTTTTATGATTTAAATTGCTGTAGCTATTGACAAAGTTTTCAAAGGAGAAACATTTCCTGTGCGAGTGCTATTATTTTAAATTTTTTTGTTGTTGTTGTTTTTGGTATTTTCAGCCAAACTTTTCTACTTCCATTTTTTTTTTTTTTAATAAAAAAGATCTGTGGTTATCTTTACAAGGAGTGGATCGTTTTCCAACAAGCCAGCTCAAGGTGTGACTTACTTGTACTTTTACTTCTCACGGCATGGCTATGGGGCCATCCCCATGGCCTCGATCCCATTTTTGTGGGTACAGCCTTTTAACACCGGGTCCTACAGAGGTGATCTGGTGAGGTTAGGTGGGGCTCTGCCTTTGGTGGTGGTACAGATGGTGGAGGAGTGAGTTTCCTAACACCCGTTGTGATGACTGCCTATGAGTGTTGGCTGGAAGGGGTCTCCAGAGGTCACCCAACCTCTGGTTTGTGTAGGAAGGGACCTTAAATATCTCCTACTAATTCTTAGGTCCTCCTTTGTCCCAGCTTGTGTCCTCATGGAGATAGTCCTATCTCCTCCTTTACCCATCACTCTGGCATCCAAAGCCCTTTTAGGTCCTGCTATGAATGACCTGAGGGATCCTGGTGGCACCACGGACTGCAGTGCCTCTTGCGCTGGCATGGCACGAGGTCATCAAGTTGGTGAAAAACCCTCTTCCAGGGTGTTTTGTGAATCAGCCTGATGGGTCAGGAGATAAAGCAGGAGGTCCCGTGAGCCCTTTTGCCCTCTCCACGCCCATGGCATTAAGTGACCAGCACACGACCATGATGGGAGCAGAAATGAGGCCTGTGGTGCCTCAGGGCCAGAGTGTGCTCACAGCCCCCCAGCACCACCTTCACAGCTGTTTTATAGCAGAATATGGCCAAACGTGGGTCTGCCTTTCAACCAGCGAGCCCAGGGGCTGCTTCCTTCCACACGAGGTCTCGTTGGAGGGGGTTCCCACCACAGGGCGCTTGCAGAGGCTCCTTTCATCAGGGGCAGGAGGGGATGACATACAATGGGACCTTCTTTTTAGGGCATTGGCTGCTCCTGCTCCTTGTCCCCATACCCCACACAACCACAGGAGTGACTTAAACCCCTCCCTTCCTACAAACTCGGCCTTGCCAGGCACAAAGCTCGTACCCAGAGCTGACGGCGGCGGCCGGAGTGCTGTTCCCTGGGGGAAATGGGGCCTTTCTCTGGGCACCCCAACCCGGTGTCTCCTGCCAGCAGCTCCTGTCCCCGCTTGCCCAGCCCAAAGCCACGTGAGGAGAGGAGCGTTGGGAGCATGTCACCCCCCGCTCGGCACGTCAGGAGCAGCTGCAGGCCCGGGCTGGGAGCCGGGGGCCCCCTGAGGGTTTTTGGGAAGCGAAGCCAAGGCGAGGTGCGGCTCCCTGGGAGCCAGGGCTCGCCAGCAGGATCCGGGCACACGCCCAGCACCGGCAGCAGCCGCCGTCCCCCTCCCGGCACACACCAGCAGAGGAGGTGAAATTCGGGAGCCGAGCCGGCTGCCCCTACCCCAGCAGGCTGGTGAATGCCACGCTATGGGGTTTTGCTCCCACCCCGTAGCACCTCACTGGGATTCAACACTCCCCAAAGCACACAGAGAAGCCAGAAAGGTGGAAATAGACCTTTTTTTTTTTTTTTTTTTTTTTTGGCTCAAAAAGTGGATGTTCCTGCAGAGGAGTGAAGGCCGTGGTGGTTTAGAGGCCCTGTGGGGTCTGCACGCCAAGCAGGATTCGTTCTCCATCACTCCTGGGTGTATTTCCCCTCCTTCCCTGTGCACACCAGAGCCCTGAGGTTTGCGGCCCGCTTTCTCCAGGCTGGGAAGCAGCAGGAAAAATCAAATCAGAGCTGCAGGAAGGGATGAAATGACCTCAGGCCGGGCTGCAGCTCAGGGCTGACGAGGCTGGGCCAAGGCAAGGCCTTCTCCTTGCCAAGAAGTGGCCAGAGCACGAGTCCAGCCCCTGTCCCCGGCCAGCCCTTGACCCTCGGTGGCTGGGTGTCGCGGGATGAAGTCACCTTCCCGGATAGCACGGCTCGGGGCTGGCCAGGAGTTGTAGTATGTGTCATGGCAGGGCCGGGACGATGTCCTTTGTGCCCCTTGAGCAGGTGCCAGGGGCTCCTCTCACGGTGGAAAATTTTGGAAGGCGGGGGTCGGCTGTTTCAGCTGGGTGGCACGGGTGGCTGGTCCCTGTGACACAGGGCTCCGTGACTCAGTTTCCCTGTCTGTAAAATGGAGCTAAGGCTTCCTTCCCTCCCACCCTATTTTCTGCCCGGCCTTGCGACATGAGCTGCTCCTAAATTTGATGCAAATTTGATTTTTTTTTTTCCTTCCATCGCCCTCAAAGCAGAGGGCAGGAGGTTGGGGAGGGAAACAGAGGCAGGGAAGGAGACCTCACCGAGGCCACCCCCTCCCTCCCAACATCTCCCGCTCCCCCAAATTCCCCTTTTCCCCTCCTCAACCTCCATCTGCTCCTGACTAATTCCCTTCACCCTCCACCTCTTTGTCCCCATACCCTGCCTCCGCACCCCGCGGGGAGCCGCGGCTCCTCCTGGAGTAGGGAGGGCAGGATCAGGCTCTCCCTCCCGTTCCTCCAGAGGAGGGAATGAGACAAGCTGCTGAGTGGTTTCCTGCCCTCCACTGCCAATGGGAGCTGCTTCGGGTGCCGGGAGCAGGGAGGATGTATCCGGAGCTGAGTGTTTCCTGGCAGATAAGGCCAGCCCCTCCTGCCGGATGTTATGAGTCCAGGTCCTACCTCCACGTTTCAAGCGAAGGGGCCGAGGAAAGGCCTGGCTGTTTATGTCAAGGAAAAATAACTTCTCCCTCCGTGCAAGCCGACGGCTCCCCAAGGGCTACGTGTGGGAGGATAAACACAGGGAATGGGAAAACAGGGAGAGAAGGCACAGGGGAGAAGGGCAGGAGGGCTGCTGAGACCCACCAGGGCTGGGCTGCCAGGGTAGAGGCACGGGGAGCTGGGGAGATGGGTCTGGGGCTGGATAGTGCCAGCTCAACCCACAGAATGACAACGTGGTGGGGTTGGAAGGGATCTCCAGGTCCCTTTGGTCTCCCTTCTGCACCAGCAAAGCTACCCCGAACAGGGTGTCCAGCCCCACGTCTGGCTGCCTTTGGGAGATCTCCAAGAAGGACTCCACAACCTCTCTAGAGATTGGTGTTCAACCACAACCCTGCTCAGCATCAACCCAGAGGGGCTTCCACATCAACCTGCTTGGCCAAACGCAGAGTGTTGCCCACCCCTATACTTCTGGCGCCCACCTGAAGAAGATCCAGCCCCAGAAGGGACATGCTCAGCTTGCCCAATGTCTTGGAGAGCCACTTTGAGGTTGGAGCTGAGCACCAGCACCAGCTTCCAGGGCTGAAGGCCCCAGCTTGGCTCCTGCCCATCTCTGCCATCCAGACATGTAAGGTGAAGAGGAGGTGGAAGAGTTGGGTCTGTGAGCACAGCATGGCCCGGCTCATAAAGGGAGAAGGAGAAGTTGTGCAGTAGGTATACAGGGAATGGGACAAAAGGAAATCTTCTCCCAGAGGCAGATTGCCATCTTTTTGTAAGAAATAAGTAAAAAGGCCAGACCCTCCTCTTTTAGATACAGCTTGGGCATTTCTGCAGCCCTGCTGGTACCACCAAGCCTAAACCTCTGCACTCCCAGCATGTTTTTAGGGTCATCTCTGGGCACAAGCTGGGACACAAAGACACCTGCACTGGACTTGGGCACTCTGGTTTGGGCAATACCAGAGAGTCTGTAGTTTGTTTATATTTATTATAATAATAATAGTAATTCTTATTATTAGCTAGCATGATCCACTTCTGATCAGTTCTGCCTTTGGCATCGATGGAGAAAAGTGTGCTAATAGATAAAAATCTGGCAGTCTCCTGTCCAGCATGGTTTGTGAGAACCAAGCTGCCTCCCCACCCGTTTATTCCCATCTCAGTACACGAGGGACTGCCGGGGTCCCGTTTCCCACCCTGCTGAGCAGAGAGAGGCGCCGAGGATGCCCTGAGAAGAAAGGGGAGAAGGGGCTGGCCCTTCCCTTCCTCCTCCTCGCAGCTTGGGAAGCCCACGCGTCCCAGCGGGGCGGCGAGGAGGGCCCCAGCAAGCCCAAGATGTTGTTCTTTCCCTTTGATTTCCACGAGCTCCTGCGCCACTCACAGCTCCTGGCCCCCAGAGCTTCACGGCGAACAAAACATCAGAAGCTGGGGCTGGCCGTGCAGGAAGGAAACCCGCTCACGTGGGGGCTGAGTCACGATCCCGATCCCGCTGCTCCCTCCTGGCATCCCAGGGACCGGGGAGGCACCAAGGGGATGGCAGATCCCACTCCCAATGCCCGGCTGGGAGACCTGGGGGCTACCCCAATAGCCTGGGGTTTTGCTGCTTGCTTGGTGTGGCTGGAGCACCGAAATCCCTCACCCCTGCCACCACCTTATCTTCAAGCTCTGAGAAATAAAACACTGCTCCTGACTTTTGTTTCTTATCTTTTCTTATTTTATTTTTCTAAAGGTGGAGTGAAATGAGCTGGAATTGCTTCTTTGGTGTGTGGAGAGTCACATGAAGTCTCCACGCTGCCCTTTTGGGCAAGGGGAGACACAGAAAACCCTTGTTTAAAACAAGCTTCTTGGCACCCCTGAACTGACACCAGCTATTTGAGGCTCTGCTGTTGAGGACAGACTTCTTGTCCTGGGCATCACACAACCCCACAAAGGTTGTCACTGCTCAAACTCCCCCTGAGCAGCAAAAATGTGAGGTCTTATTTGTTTCTGAAACCAGGAGCACCATCAGCTCTGGTCTGGGGGGTCCGGGATTCCCAACTCTACCCCTCTAAGTTACAGAGATATGATATATAGATGTAAATATAAATATAAACCAGACCCAAGGCTGGTGCAACCCAAGATTTAGGTTCCGATGGGGTTAAGGATCTCACGTATGAAAATATGTGTAAGAACAAGGCAAGTGGAATGCCCCAGCACCTCTTCCACTTCAGACCATCTGCAGCGTGGGGCTTGGTGAGCTCTGTCTTGAATCATCCTCAGTGGGATTTTTCTCCATATATTTGCTTGGTTGTGGGTTTAAAATGTTAGTACCCATC